TATAGTTTATAAAAACATTACATTTATCTACATTCATAAATTATAGAAAAAGTAATAGATAATGAGAAAAATCTATAACAGTTTCCCTTCAAGCCAAGCGAATCGCTTCTTTCATTCGTCTATATTTTAAAATATAATAGAGTAAAGTTTGGAAGATATGGAGTAAAAAAATGAAGAAACTATAAAAAAGAAATACTATTATTCTTTCCACGTGTTCTAGAGATTTAGAAGCAATATAAATACGTCTTCTACTCAAACAATGCAGAAAATATAATTGTATAGCTTCTAAAAATCTTGACACAATTATATCGTGTATGTGATTAACACCTCTACACTAAGTACGTGTTTGGCACACCAATTCATTCTTTATATAGGTGTAGAATTTCATTTTTTTTAAAAGAATTTAATTTTTTTTTTAGTTTAAAAAATATAGAAATTTTTAAAATGTGCTAAATAATTCTAAATTTTCAATTATTACAAAAGCTATTTTACATTAATTCTCTTGAATACCAGTGAATCCGGACAAGAAATTATCGAAAACTTTTTAAATTTCATTCACAGCAACAAATCTATTGTGAACGAATTTTAAAAGTTTTCGATAATTTCTTGGTCAAATTCACTCGTACTAAATTTAATCAATGCTTAGCTAATTCGATAGTGTATTGTTCATGCTGATGAAAGAACAAAAGAACTCATTGACTGAATGTATTAGCCGCTATCAGTATTGATTATGAAACACATATATTTAGAAACGTGACAGTTCTTATCAATTTAAATATTTCAAGAAAAGTTATAATTATTATTATTTAATACGCGTTTTCCTTTTCTTTTCTTGCTTCTTAAAGCTTTGAAAGAGCAAAATGAAAGTTAAAATGCCTGAAATCGAAAGATCTATTTCAAGATTACTGATAGAAAACCGAGGATCCGGAGTAAAATCGATCTCGAGTACCCATTGTTACAGATGAATGCTTTAACATGTCGTCATCCGCAGCTTTTCCTCGTAAATCTTATTTGTTTCGTCTGAATTGACGAATTATATTTCATACAAATGACATAAATTCAACTTATATATTAATGAGAAAATATCGTGTTGTATTTCGTTTGCATTGATTCCGAAAATCAAATATCTTCTAAAAGATTGATAAGTTTGATTTTCAATATTTCTTTTATTCCTTATCCTTAGAAGATCACAAAAGTTTGACGTTAATAAATTAATAAAAATCTATTTTAGAAAAAGTCTCACACAATTGCTGTAATTAAGAATTAAACTGAAATATTGACGAAGAAAATTAAGATAATTAAGCGTGATATGATCATTGCTATTATAAAACCAAAATTTGTTTCATTTACAGTAAAAGGGAATTTAGACAAATATGTGTAATAATGTATAATAAATAATCTTTAATATATAAATTGGACATCTAAGTATACAAATGTCATGATTTTAATATCATTTCTACGCTTAACTTTGTTACTTTGACAGCATTGTTTACACTTTGACATCTGAATAAGACATTAAATAAACAAAAGTATTTCTTTTTTTAAATAATCGATCTTTAAAACGTATTTAATTTGTATCAATAATTTGTATTCCAGTTTCTTAAGAACGGATTAACTCGATAAAAATTTTATTTTTGTTATTAAATCTATATATATTTTTTTATACAAGATTTAATTAAAATTAAAATCGTGCGAGATAAATCTTAAACAGATGGTTTTCGCATAGAAAATATTCTTCAAAATAAATGAGGGGAAAAAAAAATCTAAATGTATTTCCACTTTGAATAATGAATAAATTAACTTGAAAAAACAGAAGAAGAAGCAAAAATAGATAAATGTTTCTTGAATATGTGTCCAGTATATTTTTTTTTTTTTAGGAAAAACGCGTACAGTACAGTCAGTATACATGACATTTAATTGATTCGTAAACATGTTCGTGTTCGCTATGCGTGATAAATATTATTTGAAAATATGAATGGTCATAGTTAAAGAGTCACTCGACTAGGTCCTAAAAATCCAAACTTCTCATAAATTCTTCAAGTGTTTTTTTATCATATTCGAACCTATGTCTCTTAGAGCGGTCGACCACCGGTTATTATCGTTATATTTAAAATAAATCGTTTTTATTTGCAAATATAACGATTATAACAATTGACATTAATGGCATTTAAAGAATATCATCCTTATTGAATCGTACGGACAAAACTGATTATTAGCGTAACGCAATCGGGAATTTTTCTCGACGAAACTTTAAGACGTTTAAAATGTTATTAAGAATAGAAAAAAAAAATTAGAAAATTATTTACCAGAAATATAGATTAAGTTCTTCCAAGATGAGTATTTTTATTATAATGATGTGGCACGAAATGTTTTTCAGTGAAATCATTTCATCGATAATTATTACAATTATCTCCCTAACGAATCAATACTATTGATTGTAGAGTTTAAATGAACAACATAGCTTCTGTTAATTGTTTTACATACTTAAATAATTTTACTAATTATGTAAATAACTTCAAAACAATCCGAACTAGTCAAATATTATAAGACTGATTTAATATATAGTTTTCTATAGTTTATAAAAACATTACATTTATCTACATTCATAAATTATAGAAAAAGTAATAGATAATGAGAAAAATCTATAACAGTTTCCCTTCAAGCCAAGCGAATCGCTTCTTTCATTCGTCTATATTTTAAAATATAATAGAGTAAAGTTTGGAAGATATGGAGTAAAAAAATGAAGAAACTATAAAAAAGAAATACTATTATTCTTTCCACGTGTTCTAGAGATTTAGAAGCAATATAAATACGTCTTCTACTCAAACAATGCAGAAAATATAATTGTATAGCTTCTAAAAATCTTGACACAATTATATCGTGTATGTGATTAACACCTCTACACTAAGTACGTGTTTGGCACACCAATTCATTCTTTATATAGGTGTAGAATTTCATATAAAAATTCTACATTGTTCATTAAATTTGCATAGTAAACTTTTTGTTTATTTATTTAAAAGACATTTCTGTTTATTATTTAAATGACAATAAGATAAATTTTATTATGTAGACTTAAACTAAACACATTTAAAACAGAATTTTTCCACGTAAGAATGCAAGAAAATGATTTACAATATAAAAAAAATAACGAATTACACATACGAAATTTTCTAAAAGTATGAAGTAAATACGAATAAAGAATATTTAAATATACATATTTATATAAGAAATAATCAATTCATCTTTGTTTATTTTTTGTTGTTTACTTTTTATAAATCTTTTATTTGTTCATATGTTGTATAAGAAAAATACATTTGAAGATAAAGAAAAATTCTAACAGTATTATTTTTTCTTACGTGCAATTTTTCTTCGATGCGACTACCAGAATAATATAAAAAAAAATGTATTAAATCATGCTAAATAAATAGAATTTTAAATAATTCTTTAAAAATAAACTTATCGTTCTTTTAAAATATAATTAAACGGATTTAAATTTTTAGATGTTTTTACGTTCATTTTGAATTTAAATTCAAAAGAATATAATATAAATAAAACGATTTTAACCAATTTAAAATGTAAAATTCTTTGATTAAAGTTGGGTTTAAAAATTTTTCGTATGCAGTTTGTTTAATATATATATATATATATATATATATATTTTATATTAATTTTTTCTATTTTTAAAGGGGGGAAAAGTTNTAGATCTGCTGGTCTTCTCTGTGATAAGGCTCACCTAGGGCGATACCTTAACTCGAAAGGTCCCTTTTATATAAATTTATATAGCGTTAACTCCTTATCATAGAGTTCTTCATATTGTAAAAGATATAAGGCCTTAATACGAGTAATAATATCCAAAAGTTTCATCAATATTCCTGTATTTCTTAACACCCCCGAATGAGTGAGACGTCATGAGTTTGTAGTACCAGTCGACCATGAATTTCAATAAGAAACTGATTGATGATAGAATCATATTTTCTATTAATATAATGAAAACTACGACTAAGTAAGCGAAATATTAAAAAAAAATGTCCACCAACTGAACTTGGTTGCTTAATTATATTACTAAATGAGGAAAAATAATATATATTTTTACACAAAATACGGGAATAAAATCAATAAAACAAATAAAAATAGATTTTTTTTTAATCATTTAATAAAGGAATTTCTATTTATTACCATTTTTATATTATAGGATAAAATTCTGGGGCCGTATATAAAGCACCCATCATACTGTATATATATTAAGGTTATATAGAATATATATATATATAATTTAACTTTTATAAACCATAAGTAGAATTAAATTTCTGTATTAATAAATCATCATAATTTTTTATTTTCACCTGAAATTAAATCACTGTTTTTTGCAGTTGTTTAAAACAAAAAACATATTGATTTTATTTAGTTTTATCCAAGAACTTTTTATTAATTTATATATATATATAAAAAAGTGTTAAAAACTTTAATAAAATTTACTAAAACAAAAATATACATATAGATATAATCTTTATTTTATACGTGTTATCTGTTTTAAATTTTCTATGAATGAATTATGTTGATAAAATATAATATATTTTTAGTTATTAAACCATTGACGTAATAGAACCGTCACAGTTATTCTCTAGTTGCTACGCAACGGGATAACTATCTTATTTCAGTTATCAGAGACGATGTACTGTACAGTACTGTACTTTACAGTACATAGCAAATACGAAAAGCTCTTCCTTTAAAGATTAGTTCATAAAAAAAATTAATTTAAATCAACAATTAAATCAATTAAAAATATCATTACTTAGTAACACAGAGGTGCCTTTAAATTTATAGTTATTTAACAGAAAGAGTCATAGTTGGGTCCACCGTAAGTTTCAATTCGGACCCGCGTGCAACGTCTGTACTGCTTTATTTATAACTTATGTCGAGGTTAAACGTAGAATTTTTTAACTAAAAAAGTTACAGATATTAATCGATATTTTAAATTAAAATAATAAAAAAAAGCTTACTTTGACAAAGGCAGGATCACGAATGGCATCATCTTTCCCTAATTGCTGATCCATTGTATCTTGTCCGAGAGTCATCCTGCTAATGATCAAATCTTACTAACAGTGCACATTTGGGTGCGAATATTGTCTAATGGCTTCATAACAGATCTATTAAAAATAATAAGAAGAAAAAAATAAAATATATTAAAGATATAAAACTTTAAAATTTTATAATTAATTTAAAAAAAAAATATAACTCGTATAATATTAATAATTATAATTATAATCTACAGAGATGATTTAATAATGTTATTGGATGATTGATAAGTCATGCCGAATCGAATTTAAATCACTTTAAATTTAGTTAAATGACGAATAAATAACTTTAAATATAATTAAGAAAAGTTTTAAATATGTTAATTAACATTTAAATTGTTGATAATTACATTTAAAACTTAAAGAGGTATACATAATTTATTTAAATTAAGCAAATATCTTAAATTCAATATACAAAATAGATTAATAAGAAAGATATTTTATCAATGTAATAACATTTTACGCTTAATAAATGTTTTAGTTAGGATAGGTGAAACAGATGTAGCCAATGATATTTCAATAAACACCTACCACTAACACGTAATCGATTTAACATTAACTGGCAAAATTTAATTACTGCTTAATTAGAAAAATCTTTTTTACAATTTTTTTAAAAATAAAACCTCCCTGAGAGGTAATATAACATTTTAAATTTACACCAACTTAATAAATTTATAAAGATTTATACAAAATTCCTGTATAAAATTTACCTTTTCTGTTGTTGCTTATTGAATATTGTTCTAAGCACTTATTTATTTTTTAGTACCCACTAAAAGGGGAAATATACATAAACACATCCTTCGTCATTCCTTTGAAAGCTCACATCTTTAGTAAAGTGTTGAAAAATTTAATTATTCTCACACATACGAAAGAAAAGGGAGGAAAAAAAAAGGTATTTTCAAAGCTCTCGTTATCGCCTTTTTTTTAAGCTCGAACGAAAGTATAATGCAAATCGTATTCATAATTAACGTAGAAATGCCCGAAAACATTTTAGAAACGAATCAAATTTTTAAATTTATATATCTTCAAGTTATTTTAGAAATAAATGCAACCGGACAATAAATTCTTTCGCAAGTAATTTTATCTCCGGAGCTTTTCAACACAATAAGAATGTCCAATACAATTCGTGTGATATCACGAACAAGAGAGCTAGCTGTGTGTGAAGATTAGATCTAACGTAGAAGAAGGTCTGAATAAGATTTCATTGTCATTTGTAAATTAGATTTTTGACCGAAACCGCATATTTTTAACCTCCGTTTATTTTTCTTTTTATTCACAAATAGCCGTATTAATTACGTCAAGCATTATTAAGTCGTGTAAATCGTAGTAATTTGTTTAACAATCAGCGATGCTCTTCGACTATATTTTTTTTATCACTTATATTTTTAAAATGGTGGATAACACTTTTATTAAATGATTGTAATCGGTCATTTGTATTAAAGCGGATTTATTAAGTAGCTTAGAATTTCAATTATATATTATTAATTTAATGAACAATTTGCAAGCTTAAATATAGATTGTACCGTGTCCGTAGTAAAGCTGCTCATCAAGAAAAAGAAAGCGGCTTTAAAAAATTATATTATATATATTTTTTAAATAATAAAATTTGACAAAATATAAAATATTTAATGCAAAAAATTTAATAATACTTAACAGATGTTTTTGAAGCGAGACACGGACTAAATAGATCTGCTGGTCTTCTCTGTGATAAGGCTCACCTAGGGCGATACCTTAACTCGAAAGGTCCCTTTTATATAAATTTATATAGCGTTAACTCCTTATCATAGAGTTCTTCATATTGTAAAAGATATAAGGCCTTAATACGAGTAATAATATCCAAAAGTTTCATCAATATTCCTGTATTTCTTAACACCCCCGAATGAGTGAGACGTCATGAGTTTGTAGTACCAGTCGACCCCCCTATAACACTGCTGATAATTCCGTTTTATATGAATTCCATGTTGTACGAGTCACTTAGATTTTACAAATACGTGAACCGTTCACAGCCCGGCACTCGTATTTGTAAAATCTAAGTGACTCGTACAACATGGAATTCATATAAAACGAAATTATCAACAGTGTTATAGGGGGGGTCGACTGCTATTTTAAAATTCAGATTTTCTAAATACTTCTTCAAATTAATTAATGTATGAAATTAAAACGGAATAATGACATCTACGAATAATTGTAATTAAATATGCATAATCTGACCTAAATAAACATCAACGTTTACAAGAGGATGATATATAAACAAATTTACATAATCCATTCTGTAGCGAGTGTAAAATTTATTATCGTGTTGATAGGCGCTTAGTAACTATAAAATCTATGAAAAATCTAAAATGCAATATTAATTAAGGTTATATAAAAAAATTTCTTTAAACATTAGTATTTTCTGATGTTCAGTTGTCAAGGAAACATTTTCAAAATAGAAAGCAATTTACTAAAATTAAACTGGGAAGCTGTTTTCAGTTTTGACAAGAAAAATTACTTCTTCTCTTTTTTTTTTTGTGTGTAACAGAATATTAAAAATTTAGAAATTAAAACCTCTTTAAATTAAAAAAATATATCGATTATAACTGAAAATATTACGGAAAAAAAAAACCGTATTTACTCCTGTTTAATAAGTTATTCTATCCCGAAATGAGATACAATAAGGTAAAAAACTTCTCTGCACGACTTCTCTGTTTAGTAGGGAGTTCGTTTAACAGGAATATTGAGATGTGAAAGGTGTCTAGATCCACAGAAAGGAAACGTGTGCTGAAGCACAACCGAACATTGATCGTAAGAACAATCATAGAAAATAGATTTGCCAATATCAATAGAAAAATCTATTTAGTCTATCCACACCACTTTAACAGTTTAACGTAGGTGTTAAAGCTTTAAAAATGTTATTTATGATGTAATTATCGTTTTTATTTATATATTTAATATACGAAAAAACGTTTAACTTACATATAAATTCTAATTTTGCATGGAAGTAAAGGTAACGAGAAGGAGTGTTACAGCGTTAAAATCGTTTGAATTTTATCAGATAATGCCTCTATACACTCCTAATTAAATATTAGTGAGAAAGGAAATTAGATAAGCCAGCGATTATGACAAAAAAAAAACACCATAAATAGAATGATTGTAGCGATTTATTTCGTAACGCAAATTTTAAAAGTCGAATACTCGATTTACACGTCTTTTAAAACAAATAATATTAAAATTCAACAATACCTTTTAAGCAATTATCAAATACAAACATCCGTTCGTTCTTCTAAAATGTTTGGTTGTTAATTTAATTAATTAATTAAACAAAATAAGCAAACAGCGAAACGATTGTTTTCCTTATTGAAATCATGTCACATGTCACGAACGAAAAGACACCGTTACCTATAATGATAGAAGTACGTCCTTGACCCTTTCCATTTTATAACCAACAGCATTAGTCAGATATCTAGGTGGAGATGAGCCAAATACAGCTGTTTAATGCATTAACATGTGAAGAGAACTTTTTATTTTTATTTATTTTTTAAAAATAAGGTACGGGTCTAACGATATTTTAATACTTTCTAACTCTATTGTTAAAACCGTAATAAATTCAAGAAATAAAATTAAAGCATGAGAAATATCGTGTATTTTAGAAGTGATCGAAAGCAGCCATGCAAAAGCATACGACGTAAAGATGAGTTTTCATTTTACGCCTTCTATACAAGACAATGTCAATATGGTAGACCCAATCGATTTGACGTCATCCATTCAAATTATATAATATAAATCATTCCATATACAAATTTACATTTACTTTGCAAGCTTAATGACATTTTTTTTTTTTTAAACCGATCTTCTCGTAAGCTTAGGTATATTTTTATCAAATCAATACAAACGATAAAAGAATATAATTTGTTGTATGAAAAATAAATTTTGTGTTAAATTCTAATTTTTTTATTTGAAATGATTTTAAAATTATCATCGGAAGCACGATTCCATGACACTTTAACAATTTTATTGTAACGGGTCTTGCCAAATCGTATAGAATTTACAGATATAAAATACAGTCGACCCCCCTATAATACTGTTGATTTTTCCGTTTTATATGAATTCTATGTTGTACGAGTCACTTAGATTTTACAAATACATGTGCCGGGCTGTGAACGGTTCACGTATTTGTAAAATCTAAGTGACTCGTACAACATGGAATTCATATAAAACGGAAAAATCAACAGTGTTATAGGGGGTCGACTGTATTTTATATTATGTAATTAAATAATATGTAGTAATTTATATGTATATATTATACATATGTACAAAAATTCAATATATATATATATATATTAACTTTTTTTAAACAACAAAAGTTTTTAAGTTTTTAAGTCAATTTCTTAAAATTTACATAATATTATACTAGATATACTAATATTCACTTTACATTAAATTTCCTTAATAGTTTTTATAAGCCATAAATCAATTTTTTTTTCAATTTTAAACTCCAAGAAAAAAAAATTTTGTAATTTAAAATAATCGGAAATCGATTTGTTGTACAGTCAGACAACCAAACGTTCAAATAACTACAAAAAACTGAATTTATAATTAAGTTTTCACATAATGCTATTGTAGTAATGTTTGTTGTATAAGGGATTTTTGTATGTTATTATTACATTAATAAGATTTTAATGTTTACTATGAAATATTATTAATTATCAAAACTCGAGTTAACTTCAGAGAAGCAATAATTCAAGAGGAGCCATTTGTAAACCCGATATTCATAAATCGCATTTTGAAAGGGAATTGTGTGGAATTTTTATTGTCAAATACGAAAATAATAATAATTATTTTTTTTAAATTATTAATATATTAATTTCATTTAATAATAATATATAGGATGGTTCAAAGATTAGTTAACTATTGTAAAAGGCTAAGTTGATGCTTTAATCTGTAAACAATTATGGCATAGTTGATACAGAATTTGTACAATTCTGTACCAAAACCGACTAGTTGTAGTCAATTTTAATATAAAATTAATATAGAAGTTTAGTTATTGATACAATTCTCATTAATTGGTACCTTATTAGTACAGTTCTGTATTAATTACTGAAATGTTACACCGTTCTGTATCAGCTGAAAAAAATCTATAAATTCTGTATTATTTTCGTACCAATTTAGTGAAGAACAATAGCAATTCTGTGCAGTGTCCTCTACAATTCTAATGTACTGTACTGTACAATCGGCAGAGAATTATACAGTCGACCCCCTATAACACTGTTGATAATTCCGTTTTATATGAATTCCATGTTGTACGAGTCACTTAGATTNTTATTTTTAAACTTTAATAATATAGTTTATACGATTAATATAATAAAAGTATTTTGAAAATTCATTATTATTTTCAGTATAATTTCAATCATAGTTTCATAGCCATAAGAAGATTTCGATTTATATTCGATTATCACGCCTATAATTATGTAATATTTAAATTTCTTTCATTTATATAATTTTTTTAAATAAGTCAAAATGTAATATATGATTACAGTAAGATTAAAACGGTATTAATAATAATAAAAGTATTATGAAATATAAAGAATTACACGACAAAATATCTTCGGGTTAATAAACTAAATAATATAAAGTTAATTATATTTTAAAAATTATTTAATATTATATTAAACTATAAATCTAAATAGTTTTAAATTGCATATTGTGTCGTCGAGTATATATATATTTATAACTTTTTTTTTACTTAACTTTTTATATAATATTACATAAAATATGTCTTTAAATTTTAATACTTTTACAGTAAACATTATAATAAATAAACATAGATCAATCAATTTACAATATATTTTAATATAGTTCAATTATAATTCGCTGGTGGTATTTTTTTAATAAACACAAGAATATTAAATTTTAAAATTTACTGTATATTAAATAATGTTAAATAATTATACATTTTAAAAATATGTTATCAAATTGGAAAGAACAACTTAATTTTAATTTATATATTTATTTACTGTAAAAATAAAAAAAAAACTTTTTCTAATGTAAATTTAATGATTTGTCAATTCGACGTCATAAAACACATGAGTAACGCATATATTTTATTTATTATAAAGTCAACGTTTGTTCGGTGTTTAATACTACAAAGTAAAGAGTGGGAGTCCCATTCTGACGTTGCAATTTCTGAAATTAAGTGAAATTATTGTTAAAAACTTCTACATTCACAAAAAAAATTCATTTTTATTTCTATTTAAATATTTAATAAATGTATAAAAAAAGTTTTTCTTTATGAAAGTTTAAATTAAACTTTTCTTTATCTTAAGATATTATTAAATTTTGTATTACTTTGATTATAAAAAATATTATATTTACCTACATATACAGTCGACTCTCCCTATAACACTGTTGATAATTCCGTTTTATATGAATTCCATGTTGTACGAGTCACTTAGATTTTACAAATACGTGTGCCAGGCTGTGAACGGCTCACGTATTTGTAAAATCTAAGTGACTCGTACAACATGGAATTCGTATAAAACGGAATTATCAACAGTGTTATAGGGGGGCCGTGTACAAGAAAAACACGTTACAGTAAACTCAGTTAACTATTCGTATTTAAAAGTGTATATGAAATTTAAAAAGCAGTTAACAGACTTACCAACCTGTATTAAGGCCCACTATTTATAATAATAATAACATTAACAAAATATTTTTTTATATATATTTCTGCGAGTTAAAAATAAAAAGTAAAATAATTTAAAATTATTTATAGCTTAAACTAAATGTAAAAGCCTTAAATATTTAAAAATAAAAATAATATTAATATTAATTTTATATGGGAAATTATTGAATTTATAAATGTATCCATTTAGATTGCAATTAAGGGCTTAAAATATAAATTAAGTGGTTTAGAGTAATTTAACATTTTCAGTAATCGAAATACGTTTTAAACCATTTTACTTAATGATTTGATTATATATAATAATAGTAATTGAAATTATTATTATTAAATTGCTTAAATTAAAAAAAAAAAAATACAAATTTAATACGAGCATACACAAGCTTTTAAGTTCCTCGTTTAAATATGCTTTTAAAAATAATAAAGCATTACTTTTAAGCATTTTAAAGCTAAAACATACATTTAATAAAAGCATACACAAGCATAAAGCTAGCCTTTTATGCTTGTATATCGCTTTATATATAGTTGTATACGTTTGTATATAACTTACTTTAATACGCATTTAAAAGCATAAAGCATTGTTTTTTATGCATTTTAAGTTAATATTTAAAACTGTAAATTAGTAAAAATTAATTTTTTATTAAAATAATTAATAATATATTATGAAGATATATTAAGAAAAATTTATTAAGTTTAAATCATTATCACAATAAAGAGTTAACGAAAAAATAAATGGCGAATTAATAAAATAGGAAGAAAAATCGAAACGAATACGAAAAAGATTTATAAAATCGAGAAAAGGAAAACACATTTATACATTTAAATTTCCAATTAATATCCATACTTCAGCATAAACAAACAGAATCTAAAAATAGAAATCAATTTAGATCTCAAGATTTTAAATCACACTTCTTTATAGCTAACGAATACAGTTTCCCCCCTCCTTACAACATTCCATTTGAAGTTTCCCCCCTCCTCCCCGTTCATAATAGTAATAAGTTTAAAAAATAAAACAAAAAAATATATATATGACTTGTTTTTTAACAGGATTTATCGTTTTAGATATCGAATTATTCGCCACAATGTTTTGTTGATCGAAGAGAGATTCAACAAGCGGTCGTTCGATATATAAACCGAAATGTTACTCTATATATCCTTATCTTTTTACCTATTAATAAATACACTCCCGAAGTCAGTTAATGTATTATTTTATAATCTAATATAATGTTTTATTATTTAAAAAAAAGAAAAAAACATTTCCTTCTGTACAAGAATATATTTGTCTTCATTTTTTTTTCTAAGACCGAAATAAACACGGGGAGGGGGGGAAAAAGCTGCTTAAATAAGAGTTTCCTAACGAATATCCTGTCGAATTACACTTATTTAATGACGAATAACGCGTAATGACTCTTTTCTAAAAGAACTGCGGTGTTTAAGACGCAAAAAAAACGCATTATTTTTAGAAAAACCTCATTACAAAGCGCATTATTTACAACGGATATTTAACTATCTCCTATGAATAGAACAGTCTCGATATAGCGAAATATAAATTGCGAATTATTAAATGCACGCGTAATAAGAATAACATAACCCCATACTATATTAGTTTTAAAAGATTCCAATCTTTTTTTTTTAAATACAATTACAAAAGCCGATATGCGGAAAAAAAAAAACTTACCGTATTCGAGCTCGATAGCACCTGTTTACACGAGAAATTATGGAAAGATGAAAGAGAATTTGGTGGTAGATCTTACGCGCTTTGATTTAGATTGAGTCGAGGGGGAACCTTCTTCCGTTTATCGGCTTCACTTTTAGACTGCGACAACACGACTCACAATTTAAGCTTGACAGTCAGGCAAGCTGACGTATCGTTCTTAGTAGCAGACATCGGATAGAATGACGTATAAAAGCGCGTGCGCCCGAATTAACCAATGAGAAAAGAGGGGTGAAAAAATCAATAAAACCCGGGAGGAGGTTAGTAGTGATAACCTAAAAGACTCGAAACGCTTATTTTAAACGACCGTCTCTTAATTTTTCTAATATTTAATAGAGTTTTAATTAGTTTAATTTTCTATTTACACCCGAATTTTGACGAGGTTAAAACTTTTTTTTTTTACTTAAATTTGTCTTAATAATTTGTAAAATGAGGCTAAATTAGGAAGCGTTAACGTGTAGTCTATAATTAAATGCTCGTTTAAACAGTAGAAATTGTGTAATTGATGTTTGATCGGGAATCGATTATTGATAAATCAATTTTCAAGAGAATCTTGTGTAATATCCTTCTTGTTTTTTTAAATAATGCAATCTTATTTCTAATTTTTTTTAAGAAAAATTATAATTAAATAGTATAATGTGTTTTAAAATTAAATTTAAAATAAATTAAAATAAAAAAAAAACAATTAGCCAAGTCTGAGATAGATTTATGATTGTTAAATTAAATTTATCAACGTGATTTTAGTGATTTACGACGTTAAAACAATTCGGAAACTTGCGAAATTTTATTTCCAAATAGATTAAAATACATACGAATGTTAGATATATTTCACTAATAAAATATAATCTCTATTTCCTTATTTGTTTCGAAATTTTTAAGGTTTATCGGTATAGTTTATGTATATATATTCGTTCGATACTTAAATAAATTAATTGTAAACTGTATATAGTTAAATATGTGACTAATAGATGGCAGTATTAAATTTATTACGAAAAATTAATTTATTATTTAGGACAGACACTCTTACAGGTTTGACAGAATGCCATTTGGTCGGGCATCAAAAGAAAATTTGTCACAAACTTTACTTATTACTTTGCATTTACATTTGTCGTGTATTAAGAAAAAGTCTTTACTTTTATTATTTAAAAAATATATACAATAATAACGCCATTTTTTTTCAAATGAGCCTACAAAATGATAAATGGCCAAGCCTCTTTTAGTCGATCCCCCTATAACACTGTTGATTATTCCGTTTTATATGAATTTCATGTTGTACGAGTCACTTAGATTTTACAAATACGTGTGCCGGGCTGTGAACGGCTCACGTATTTGTAAAATCTAAGTGACTCGTACAACATGAAATTCATATAAAACGGAATAATCAACAGTGTTATAGGGGGATCGACTAAAAGAGGCTTGGCCATTTATCATTTTGTAGGCTCATTTGAAAAAAAATGGCGTTATTATTGTATATATTTTTTAAATAATAAAAGTAAAGACTTTTTCTTAATACACGACAAATGTAAATGCAAAGTAATAAGTAAAGTTTGTGACAAATTTTCTTTTGATGCCCGACCAAATGGCATTCTGTCCAACCTGTAAGAGTGTCTGTCCTAAATAATAAATTAATTTTTCGTAATAAATTTAATACTGCCATCTATTAGTCACATATTTAACTATATACAGTTTACAATTAATTTATTTAAGTATCGAACGAATATATATACATAAACTATACCGATAAACCTTAAAAATTTCGAAACAAATAAGGAAATAGAGATTATATTTTATTAGTGAAATATATCTAGCATTCGTATGTATTTTAATCTATTTGGAAATAAAATTTCGCAAGTTTCCGAATTGTTTTAACGTCGTAAATCACTAAAATCACGTTGATAAATTTAATTTAACAATCATAAATCTATCTCAGACTTGGCNAGAGAACAAAAAAAATAAATAAATAATTAAGTATTGTTGTATTTCCTAAAGGAAATATTTACAATCCAATGATATATTTTATTATATCAAACTGTAAACTGTGGAAAAATATGCCTTTATTAATCCTATTGGAATAGTAAATTTCATTTAAATGAAAATTTATAACATTTCTTTAAAATATATAATAATTAAAATTTATGAATTATAAAAGAAAGTAATTTAATAAATATTATAATGTAAATATAAATAAATTTGGAAATATCAGGCATTGGAAGTATGTCTTAATCATTAATTTCTTAATTGTTTAATAATGATGAGGTTTATTTCAGAGATTAAAAGGTCTTATCGTATGTTTGCTTCGTACGAACGTAAACAAATTACATGTATTTAACTATTGAATGGAAATAGCATTATGGCTACTACCGAGATAACTGAAAATTGTTAAAAGATAACCGAACTAAATGAATTTTTAGCCATTCATTTTTTTTTCCTCTTAAACATTACGACAAAAACAAAAATTGTGTAAATTTAGAAACAGGAATCTCGTCTCCTTTCTTTTTTAAAGCGGAAGATAAATTATAACAACGTTCTACACCTTATAATAATGTTAAAAATACTTAACATATTAGAGTAATTTTATATATCATAATTATTCAAGTTGTAGATAAGATTAAACTAACTGGCCAGTATCAAAGAGATAGAAATACAATAGACCCCCCTCCCATAACACTGTAGATAATTTCGTGTTATATGAATTCCATGTTGTGCGAGTCAATTAGATTTTACAAATAAGTGTGCCGGACTATAAACGGCTCGCGTATTTGTAAAATCTAAGTGACTCGTACAACATGGGATTCATATAACACGGAATTATCTACAGTGTTATAGGGGGGTGGGTCTACTGTAAACTCCTCTGTACTCGTTAAAGTAGTAAGCTAACGGTTGAAAACGTTTAGGTGAAAAAATTCAACAAATGACATTTATTCTATTTTTAAATAGTTTGGCTTAGAATAAACACGTAAGAGAAATATAATATGCAAATTTTTCTTTAATTATATATCGAACGTGTTTGCTTTTCTAAATCTCCCTGGAGACGAAAGAGGGGGGGACAATTGTATAATGTGTATTGGACCGAACTTCTTGTTTATTTTAATATTAGAAAAATCGATTAATTAAATTTTAAAATGTATTTATTCGAATTTTTTTTTAAAATAAATATTTTTAAAAATATAATAATCTTGAATTTTGTAAACAGAGAAATATTTGTTCGACTAATTTTATTTTCTTATTTACTTTATATTAATAGACATTTCTTATAAAATATATCGTATAAAATTATTATTAATTTATTTTTCTAGGCGTAGAAATGTTAATTATCTGCATGTAATTTAAATATTTACTTTAAATCATAGGGGTGAAAAAATCAATAAAA